ATTGAAACACCGGTTCCTGTACGATCACCTAAGTTAAGCACCGTCAAGCTTGGTCAGTACCTAGATGGGTGACTGCTTGGAAATATGCAGGTGCTGTAAGCACGGGTTGTGTTATGGATAATGGCTCGGAATTTGACACTGGAGAGCCGAGTTCCAATTCCTGTTGAGTTCGGTATGTTCACTTACGCGCAAATACCCTTAGAAATTGTATGAAATTACGTCTTCTCCCTCCCGCTATGGATTAATCAGTAGGATTTATATTACTAAACGAATATTATCGAGAAAAAAGATTCCCAAAATCTAAAAATATTTTCTGGCTTTAAACATCCATAAAAAAACGAATCAATCATATCCCGTGGAAACTATAGAACGCTGAACCGACCTGCTGGATATTCATTTGCTTTTGAATTTTGATGGAATTTAAGATAGTGTCACTTATAATCACAGACAATTCTAACTAGATGCAGTTTAAGCATTAAGAACCAGTCGATATTTTTGAGACGCACATAACACTGAAAATCAAAGGATATCAAATGACCCTACAATTTCAGAAATGGAATGTATCGTCTGTCTGGAAGCTCTGTCATGCCCCGTCCGAACTACCAGCTATCATGTACCACTGGATCGCCTTGTCGTGAAAAACCTAGTCGGATTGATTATTTGATTTTGTTTAGCGGCATATCAACACCTCTATGAGTTATTTAGTGCCGAAATCTAAATATTTGAATTTTGGTTGGTTGATTTTGTTTAGCGGCATAGCAACACCTCTATGGGTTATTTAATGACGAAATCTAAATATTTGAATTTTGGTTTGTTGATTTTGTTTAGAGGCATATCAACACCTCTATGGGTTATTTAATGACGAAATCTAAATATTTGAATTTTGGTTGGTTGATTTTGTTTAGCGGCATATCAACACCTCTATGGGTTATTTAATGACGAAATCTAAATATTTGAATTTTGGTTTGTTGATTTTGTTTAGCGGCATATCAACACCTCTATGGGTTATTTAATGCCGAAATCTAAGTATTTGGATTTTGGTTGGTTGATTTTGTTTAGCGGCAAATCAACCTGAATGGGTTATTTAATGCCGAAATCTAAATATTTTGAACATAATTTATGCCTTTAACTACAGTTAAAATATATTGTTGGTCATTTTACCATTAATAAGTATTGTTGGTTATTTTACTATAAAATGTATTGCTTTTCATATGGCTTATAAATAGTTTTTTGGGTCATTTTACTATAACTGGGTACTGTTTGTCATTTTACTATAAATAGGTATTGTTGGTAATTTTACTTTGTATTTTTATATTTTCATAGTGTTTTGTTTTTGTCTCGGGGTTCACTATTTTCCCATTGCTGTGCCCCTGGCAGATGCTACCACCCTGGGTCAGGATTGCAGTCTGGTCAGTGTTCACGTTTACTCATTAGATGTTACAGCATAACTTATATAGGTCTGATCATTTCCATATACGAAAAATGCGGTGGTTCCACAGAACGTTGCCTTTACATACCGCCAATCTATCAATTGGTAAAGTCAGTGTATTTTAATCTTGAAGGTGATCGGACGAAAATTGTCTGTGTTTTTTTATTATTATTATTTATTGTATAGTTTCGTTATTATTGGGGGCTGCATGCGTGTCTCGTGAAAGAATAGAGGTGCTTCTAATTATTTTAAAATAGGGACGGACGGAAAAAAAATGGCGACAGATAAGTTTTAACAAATGAAAGCAACACAAGGAATGAGTTCAAACGTCCCACCTATTCTTGGAATGATAATGGCTCATCTCAAAAATATAAACATTTTCACTTGAGATGATATTTTATCACTATTATACATCTACAGATTCGTTTTCAGATAATCCATGTGTTGTTTTTAAGCGTTTCGCAATGCAATCTTGTTATACATTGATATCTGAAAGTTATTTGTAACATCTGTGCATATCCATAATTAGTATATAATGCATTAAATACAGTAGTATTTTTTTTGTGGGGGGGGAGATTTTTCTCTTTCTTTCGTTTAAAACTTAATTAGTACTACAAAGAAAAGTTAAAAAGGTATTGAGAATACGGGTGTTGATTTATCTAGTTTTGACGAAATAGTGACAAAATATTTTATGTAACATAACGTCGGACATAAAGCTTATCAAACACACAAAATAACAAGAAAATAACCAACAACAAAAGTTAATCTAGCAAAATGAAAACTTTAAATGCTAGTCAATAATTTACAACGGTTGACGAAGTTCTATCTGATAGCTAGCAGCATAGCCCGTGCTTGATTCAAAAATCGTACGACTCATACAGCAATCGCTATCACTTGACTTAAAATATTTTTGCCCTTCCTTGCCTTTAAAGAAGTGCTCTATGCCGTGCTGATGTTGCTACATGCCTTACTTATTGCCTATCTCACACAGCGAATTTTTTCTAAGCTCTATACTAAACATTAAATCTGTTACGAAAAAAGAACTAAACAAAATGAACACAAAACGATCAGCTTTAAAAAAGGACTCGTAACTGGAAAAACTGGATGAAAAAAGAATGTTAACAACAAATACTTTTTCACGTCCAACCCAGTTCTGCGGAATCAGAATCAACGTTGAGTTTAAGCAAGCGAATGAGCCAATTGGAGTAAAGTGCCATGCAGATTTAAATTTTTCCCACTTGTGACGAATGCAGCTATCGATTTTTTTTGCATGCTAGCATGCTAGTTAACATTCGTGTCAGTCAGCTGTTGGCTCTCACGCTGGCCAATAGAATCTTCCTGCCTATTCATGGCAGCCAGCTATAGGCTCTCACTCTGGCCAGTAGAAAATGGCTGCAAACTACATGAAAACTGCTGTAGAAGTATGAAAAAATCAATTATTTCCACTATCGATGGGAGTTGGGAAATGCAAAGTTGATCTTGGCCTTCTCGCTAACTTGGAGCATGTGCATGTAAATTTTGGTGCAAATCAGTCGAAAATTGCGGCCGTGCATTCGTTACACACACACACACACACACACACACACACATCCTGCCTTGTATAGATAGAGATTCAAGATAATATTAGAACTACTAATACTAAAAACTTTGATAAAAGAAACTGAAATTATTATTAAATAAATATAAATCATATATTTATAATGGCTGCCAATGTCCCATTTAATAAGAATATACTACAATATTATAATTATTAATACTACAAGTGTAAATGAAGTATCTGCAATTAAATTGAAAGAAATACTAGTCAGATATTAATAATGGCCGACAGTGCTTCGTTTAACAAAATTTCAAGATAATATTACTATTACTAATAATACAAGTGTAAATAAAGCAATTGAAATTAAGATGAAAGAAATACTAGTCAAATATTAATAATGGCTGACAATATTTCATTTAATCAGTATATTCCTAGCTTTGTTTTTCTTTTCTTTTGTTATTGCTTCTTTCGTCTTTTTTTTATTAGTTTTCTTATCAATCCTTATTAAGTTCAGCATCGCATTGCACTAAACGAAAATATAAGGAATCAAGAGGCCTAATATTGAATAACACAATGGCACAAAGTTCATCTGACCAAGTTAAGAAATATAACCCGAGAGTTGATGCGTACTGTTGATAATGTCAACGAATATATGTTGATATAACGAATAGCTGATGATGGTATCAATTAAAATATAGGCCAGTGACAATAGTTACTATCAGACGATGACTAATCCGTAACCAGTATGACGCATAGGTTCATTATATTGCAAATCCCAGTTTCTTTGTTGTTATTATTATTATTACTGAAACATTCCCGTCAATAAATTTCAGGAGCTTTCGACGGATGTAAAATTGTAAAGATCAGAATAAAAATGGCTGTTTTCATGCAAGAGAGACCGACATTTATTGATCAGTTAGTGTTAGTGACGGTTGGAATTTATACAATATTTTTCTTAAAACAGTTTTTCAAAAAACAAACAAACTTCTCATGTCCACTAACTGTTATCGCTCTTTCTAATACTGTTTCCTTCTAAACCATCTGTTTTTGGAAGGGTGGAATGTTGATATATTTATTATCTCATTCATTTCTATTCTAGTTACATATGCTGATTTTTCTAAGCGTAGGCCTAAACTATGGAGCATCCAAAGTGATCTACTAATCGTAGCTTAGTTGTGGCACAAGGCCGAAATTATGGGGGCTCCCACTGAGGATCGAACTCAGTATTCAGTCGTGTGCAAGCAAATAAGCTCTAGCTTACTAAAAATGTTCCACACAAAATAGGCATTTAAAATTCATATATTTATATATATATATATATATATATATATATATATATATATATATATATATATATATATATATATATATATATATATATATATATATATATATAAACTGGATTTGGCATTAAATAACCCACAGTGGTTGATATGCCATAAAACCTTAACAAACAAATATTCAGTCATAATTGATCTAGTGAGACAAGCTTGCTAAATATAACACAACATCGAAGTGTTAAATGATTTTTTAAGCGTAGCTTAGGTCTGGCATGAGGCCGAACGTATTGTGCGCCTAGTAAGATTTTACTGGCCATTATACCACGCCGAAGTCACATATGCCACCCATTTTAATTTTTGTTACTCTTATGAATATTGAATTGATACAGCTTTTTTTTATTATTATTAGATATAGCTCTTTAAGATTTTGCAGCGCCAGTCTATAGAATTTTGATGAAGGATTATCTTTAAGATTTAAAAGAGTTATTTGTTTGAAGCCATTTTTAATCGTGGATCACACAAAACCTGTTGCATACGGAAGTTGGATGAGATATTTGTAAACGAGTTGGACTCCAAGTATGACGTCCTTATGAAAGTCTAGATCTGATGTAACTGTTTAAGAATATGACACTAGTCTTCAAGTGTATTTCTTCTAGTTCCTCTATTACTCTAACTCGTTGACAGAAAACACAGAATTAACTCATGTGGAACGGCACATGACAGGGAAAATATTGTCGCTTGAGGGCAAGGAAGTATCCCACTGAGTTTAATATTTTCAAATAAGTATTATAAATAATCTGAACAACTTGCAGAGCGAGTGATTATAGCCTGGATAAAATTAAACACATTTCAAAACTTCTTAACCTGACAAAACTTGAACTGACGGCCTGCCTAATTGTTACTTCCCAGTCGGTAAATAAAACGACACCCGGACCCACACAGAGTAGCCAATCGAAAACCAAATATAAAAATACGATATATAATACAGACAGGGCCCTTTTATCAGACGAATTTGTTTTTTTAATAAAAGATTTTACACAATACAAACCTCTAGATCAGGGTTTCCCAAGATGGGTGATATCGCCACCGGTGGGCGATTTCAAATGTTGGGTGGGAGATAAGCAAAATAACGGAAAATAGTGGGCGATTTGATGGGGGATATAAGATTTTAAGTATTAAAAAAAGTATTCAAACATATGATACTCGAAAAAATATTCAAAGGAGATAAGCAAAGAACATGTATAAAACAAACAGGAGGTATAATAGGAATAACCGAGTCACATTCCTAGTTTATATATATATATATATATATATATATATATATATATATATATAAAAAGGCTTAAACACTAATATTCCATGGTCATAATTTATTCCATTGGAATCGCAAATACGATCCAATTCATCAGACCTACAAATTCAAAAAGAAAACAGAAAAAACAATTCCGGAAATATATATATTGAAATGTAACGAGAACGAAAAGAATACAAATTCAAACGTTCATAACATTAATTTAAAAAATATATATATATATATATATATATATATATATATATATATATATATATATATATATATATAGAGAGAGAGAGAGAGAGAAAGAGAAAGAGAGACATGGCACGGCGCAGCATGGTCGGAGAGTGGATAGCGGCTTGGATTGAGGAATCGGAGAGCCGAGTTTGAATTCCAGTCGAATCCATTGCATTCACTTACGTGCTAATACCCTTCTTCTCCTTCCGCTATGGGTAAATAGCAGGACAGACTCGAATAGCAACTGGTCTAGGAGAAGGACAACTCTGAATTCAAAACCTGCGGAGGTTTGTACGGGGACCTTGAGAAATGTAGTGCACCAGGTCTCTGTATTAGGCCCATCACAATGTGTGGTTGGTTCTGCACAAAGCCTTCACCACTATAACCAAATCCTATGTGCTGGTGTCTGAGCTGTCAGAGTAATGAAAATCTTGGTAATCCGTATGGATAATCCCAAGGAGGATGAAATCCAGAGAGATCAATGTTTAATAAGAGCAATTAATTCAATGAAAGCAGACAACTTTAAGGATCCATTGGTTATAATTTATTTCCGCAGAGAATTTCTTTTTCCCTGGCTCATCAGACCACACTTCCAAGGGTGAAAAAAATCAAGTTAAATTTACATATCTTTTTATATGCTTTTGAGGGGTAGTTTTAAGTTTGTGTAAGGTGATATAGAGAGAGGGGGAGGGGGAGTATGACAGACACGGTCAGAATTAGAGAAGGAAGGGAGAGACAGGAATGATTTTAAATTTATTTTTAGTAGCCTACTTAATAGTGAGGAAGGGGGAGGTAAGGACCAGACATTGACCTTTTTAATAGGCCATCTCACAGGAAACGATATAGACAGAAAAAAAGAGAAGATGTTAGAAATAAGAGGTGGAATTGGGGTTTTAAGGAAAGGAAAATAGTGATTTTGAAAGGGAATTAGGAGAATTAATGTATGTGGGTATATTGTATATATATATATATATATATATATATATATATATATATATATATATATATATATATGATGACAGGGTGTATCAAAAATATTTTACAAACTTTGGGGCAAAAGTCCATATAAACACCTGTCCGAAAATCCTTCGTTTTTGAGTTAAGTTTAAAGAAAGATGGCGCTCTGTTACTATATAGGCTATGTCACATTTGTCATTCGTGTACATTTGTGGCTAGTCTGTCTTCAACGATTAAAGTTTGTAGTAGTGAGTTAAATGAGAAATGTTTTTGTTTAATAAGGGCGGGGTGGGGCTGCGAGGCTGTATTAGATTGGGCATCCAGACCGAAGGCAGCCGATTCATCCAACTTTTGCTACAGTTTCGTCGCGTTACTGAAACAGGATCCGTGGCACCATAAACTATGGATCGAGGAAGACAGCGATCCACTGGCACGCCAGACCACAAAGAATACATTCTACATGGCCTTTTGGACATATGATTAAATAGACATTTACCTTGTTTTGGTGTCTGGAAGCCGCCATCAAAGTTTGTTTGGTTTGGTTTCTTTTACCTCTATGGGTTATTTAAATCCGACAAGATTTTTATTTCTGGTAACAATTTTTTATCTATCTATCTATCTATCTATCTATCTATCTATCTATCTATCTATCTATCTATCTCAGTATATATTGGTTTCGCTTGGTTTGTTTTACGGCATATCAACATCAATGGGTTATTTAATGCCGACAAGATTTTTATTGGTGGTAATATTTTTTCAAAAATGTATTGCTGCTAATATTTTTTCTTAAAAAATGTATTGCTGGTAATACTTCCGTAATATTTTGACCAATTTATTTTTCTTCTTTTCAATATTTGCCCCCTAGCTGGGATCCTAACAGGTGCTACCACCCCGGGTCAGCAAATAAGAGGTGGTTTAACACTTCTCAAAACCTCCTGATCAGAGGCCTTGCTGTTGGATATTGTTTATCGTCTTACCCAGGACGCGGATGTAGTTTATTGTTTTACCCAGGACCATCAGAGTTTATAAAAGTATTTTTGATACACCCGGAATATAGTTTTCAATGCTCAAGTTTGTTTCTGTTTGTTCTTCAATACGGTAGTAGTTGCCCGAGTCACCGCAATTTTTTTTTTTTTTTACTGCATCAGTTTATGAATCCTTAACAAAGAACTAAAAAGGATAGGAAGTAGTAGAGTACCATGATCGCCTAAATCCAGAAAGGAAACGGCGCATAGAAGAATAACAAACCTTTACTACAAAATGTTGATATGCTTTTCAATATTTACTATATAGGTGGGCGTTGGGACTTTTTTTTTCCATGTGAAAGAGGGAAGTGCCGCAAAACAGGTAGGGATCGCCTTCTCTGGAGCCATCCTCGATAGAAAGTTAATCAATATGGTAATACTGTGTGAAATATATGAATGGAAGAAAGGTTAATAAGAAATGAAGTTTACCAGGGTAAGGAGGAACATTAATTGAGTCCATGATTTATAGGGGTTAAGACTGTGGTTCTCAGGGAGCAACCACGCAGGAGTCTTTTCCTGCAAAGTGGCAGTTATTGGGGAAAAAAAGCAGTCTGATTAGAACGTTTTCTTAAATTTTGTTTTATTTATTGACTGGTTCGTTTTTTTTATATATAGTTTATCAACCTTTTTCGTGTCATTTAAAGCCAGAATTTCGTGAAATACATCTATTTGATGCTTTGGCACAGACCATCAGTGATGTTTTTCGATTTTTAGGTTTCGGGTCTTTTAACATCACTCTCCTCCCCAATCCATGGTGACACAGCCGATAAGTTACAAGCCAGTCTGGATTTGAGGCATTGAAAGTTAGAAGCCAGTCAGGATTTGAGGTATTGAAAGTTACAAGCCAGTCTGGATTTGAGGTATTGAAAGTTACAAGCCAGTCTGGATTTGAGGTATTGAAAGTTACAAGCCAGTCAGGATTTGAGATATTGAAAGTTACAAGCCTGTCAGGATTTGAGGTATTGAAAGTTACAAGCCAGTCTGGATTTGAGGTGTTGAAAGTTACAAGCCAGTCTGGATTTGAGGTATTGAAAGTTACAAGCCAGTCTGGATTTGAGGCATTAAAAGTTATAAGCCAGTCAGAATTTGAGGTATTGAAAGTTACAAGCCAGTCAGGATTTGAGGTATTGAAAGTTACAAGCCAGTCTGGATTTGAGGTATTGAAAGTTACAAACCGGTCTGGATTTGAGGTGTTGAAAGTTACAAGCCAGTCTGGATTTGAGGTAATGAAAGTTACAAGCCAATCATTTGCCTATTGAGCTGTTGGAGCTCGATCAGAGGAGAGATCAGCTGCCAGGCTCCGACCTTCATGATCTTTGCTCGATGCGTCCGTAAACAGTGCTATCATCTGCCTACATGTTTACCTATGATCTGAAAATGTTCGTCGGCAGATCGTTAACAAAGCGATTCGCTACGATGAGAGAGAGAGAGAGAGATATATATCCATGGGAACGACTTCATTGATATCACGGGGTCGGTGAATATGGGGTTATAAGGTTATGAAAGCAAAATAAGGGAATGTTCGGTGAAAACCGGGGAAATGATTCGAAAAGGATTTCAACGAAGAGCAGAGTATTTTGAGAGCTCTTATCTGTTTTAGATTCAAGGCATGAAATCTAAATAAAAAGGTTATATCCTTTAAGCGATTTCAAGAAAATAAGCCAATTTTCATAAACATTGAAAATTATAAACAATTATGCTAGAGCCAAAAAAGCAAGGCTTCCGATTAAACTCCAACTTTTTTCTTCTACGTGCCGCGTACCTTCAGGACGTAGGCGGCCATGGCTCTCCACAATTTCCCGTCTTTTATATCTCATAATAAATTTTGTCTATTTGTTATCTCTATCTATAATAAGGCAGGATGTGTGTGTGTGTGTGTGTGTGTGTGTAACGAATGCACGGCCACAATTTTCGATGGATTTGCGCCAAAATTTACATGCACATGCTCCAAGTTAGTGGAAAGGCCATGACCGACTTTGTATTTTTCAAATGCCATCGATAGTGGAAATAATCGATTTTTTTCATGTTTCTACGGCAACTTTCATGTAGTTTTCGGCCATTTTCTACTGGCCAGAGTGAGATCCATTAGCTGGCTGCCACGAATATGCAGGAAGATTCTATTGGCTAGCGTGAGAGCCAACAGCTGACTGACACGAATGTTAACTAGCATGCTAGCATGCAAAAAAAAAAAATCAATAGCGGCATTTGTCACAAGTGGGAAAAAATTAAATCTGCATGGCACTTTACTCCAATTGGCTCATTCGCTTACTTAAACTCAACGTTGATTCTGATTCCGCAGAACTGGGTTGGGTGTGAAAAAGTATTTGTTGTTAACATTCTTTTTCATTCGGTTTTTCCAGTTACGAGTCCTTTTTTTAAAGCTGATCGTTTTGTGTTCATTTTGTTTAGTTCTTTTTCGTTACAGATTTAATGTTTAGTATAGAGCTTAGAAAAAATTCGCTGTGTGAGATAGGCAAGAAGTAAGGCATGTAGCAACATCAGCACGGCAAAGGGCACTCCTTTAAAGGCAAGGAAGGGCAAAAATATTTTAAGTCAAGTGATAGCGATTGCTGTATGAGTCGTACGATTTTTGAATCAAGCACGGGCAACGCCGGGCCATGCTGCTAGACTCTACTAAACCTTGTTCCACCATCCATTTGCTCACTTGTTTATTAAAAGTTGCAATAGATAGAAAATTGTGGAGAGCCATGAAGGGACACGTCACATGGGAAGAATAATAAGTTATATTTTAAACTAGCCTGAAAGATGCACTATCGGGTGGTATATAAGTTAGCTCCTGTGGAGGGCTCTTGGGCCTTCATCAAAATAGGTAGGGAGGAGTAGATACAATAGGCATCAATAAACTACAGAAGAACTCAAAATTGATCGCTGTATTTAAGTATTGCATTAATATTTAAGCTTACCTTTTAAAAGTTGAACGATAATTCTTCTCCACTTAATTTAAAGACAATTTGATATACGTACGTCCTTATTTTCCCTACAATCAATTATTTTTATTTCATGGGTGCCTTTCGTAATTAATTTAGATTATTCCCAAATTTATTTCCAAGTTATAAAAACTGTTATCGTACAAAAGAATTCGTCGCAAAAAATTACACAAGAAATTACCGAAAACAATCGCAGTAATGGAAACTTCGGAATCCAAAATTTCAGGATTTCAGCCTTAATGATTTCAATTTGCTCACGGAGTCGGCCTGATTCTAAAATGGTAGGATATGTTGGGCTACGGCTTCTACGAGTAAAGTTGAATAAGTGTGAGACACGGATATTCGCATTTATTATATTGATGAAATAAAATACATGTGCAACAACAACAAAAAGGTATTGAAAGTTATAAGCCAGTCTGGATTTAAGGAAGAAAAACACCGCTTATATTCAGGAAAATCCACTAAAGTTTTAATATAACACAAGTTACAAAGTTTTTATGTCAATATGTTTCTTTAAGTTTATTCTTTTGACCTTTTTTTCCGTGTCTTCAGTTTCTTTATTTTTCATGTTCCATTTCTCGTTAGGTTAGGTTAAGTTAGTTGATTGCTGGCTTATTTAATGTGGAATTATGTATGGGATCCCTTAGTGAGGATGGACGTGCTACTCGTTGCTAACGGCCAATCAGAATAACATCGCTAACCTTTAATCAACCCGAGGTTCTTAATTACATTTGGAAAAAAAACATACAAATATTCAACTGACGATCTGTTCCCTAAACTTTATGAGTTCAAGCGCCCTACGAGGTTGAAATCCCGCTCTCACCCTTTCACTATCGAAACTATTAAATGTAGCTTTCTCTTCTACTCCAATAGCTTCATTCCTCGCACCCGTCGCCTGTGGAACTCCCTTCCCTATTCCAGTTTCCCTGAGAGCTATAATCTCCAGCTATTCAAATGTAATGTCAATCGTCATCTCCAGTTGTCTTGATCTATCCACTACCCTTCTCCTCATCCTTTTTTCTATCACTCCTATCTGATCTTCTGTAACCCCTTGCGTCCTAGTGGCTTCTCGCCTTGCTTGGAGTGAAACGCTTTAAAAAAAAAACTCCACCTTCTCATTACATTAAGACGGTTATGGACAATTCGATGTGGTGTAATGGTTAGCAAACTTGCCTCAATAGGTCAATTAGAACTGAATAGTGAGTTCAATCTTCATTGGGTACCACATACTTTTAGCCTTGTGCTGCAACTAAACTACGCTTAGTAAATCACAGGGTCACTTTGACGAGGTGTAATGGCAAGCGTGCCTAAATGGATCAATTGCGACCGGATAGTGAATTCGATCCTCATAGATTCTTCCTTGTGCTACGCTTAGTAAAGCGCTACACTAAGGTGGTTAAGGTCAAAGGTATACTATCATACATAGAACATCGGACCGTTTCTAAAAGACACGACAAAAACAGAGTGCTATAGTTATGTGCAGTCAACGATTCACCTAGACACGTTTTGCCCATCATGTATCGTCAACAGATGTCACCTTTCCTGAGGTCACTTACCCTACAGCTATGATGTTTTATGAGAAAGTATGATTAAAACAATATATGGGCGTCGGTCAAAAAAAAAAAAAATGCCAGTGGTAAGTGTTAGAAGCAACGTCAAGTCTTCGTATGAAAAATAGCAAACGCCCAGTAGTATCCTGTTGTCCAAATCGGCCGCGTCAGTCGTACATCGTCCTTGACTTTAGTTCAAAACATTGTTTCGGGGGTTGCGTGTTACGCTGATGTAGGTCATCATATTTATGCTTCGTTTAGAATCGGCTGAAATCTAGGGTTCACGCCAGACGTCCGACGCGACATGCTTCGCCGATTTTATACCAAAGTACACCGTTTTTTTTTGTTTTTTTGTTTTTTTTTTTTTTTGTCGGGATGATGAGTGCGATAAATAAACAAAAATAGAAGAAAAAAAAAATGCATGGGCAAGAAAAAAGAAGAAAAAGAAATGTTACTTTGAGAGCGGATGATTAAATCTGAAACGGCAGACAGCGTCCAGGATTGCGTGGTGGCATAAATAACACTTCATTGTGACGTGTTCAGTATCGCATTCCGTTCGTTGTCTCACCAAACACACACAACGGTGCGAAGGTGACTCTTTCTTTATATTTGTTCTTGTTTTATTTTATTACAATTTTGTATGTTTTTTCTTTCTTTCCTTTTTTCTTTTACTTTTCTTTTTCTTCTTTTCTTTTTTCTTCATTTCATTTTCATTTTCTTTTCTTTCTTCTTTTTCTTTTCTTCTTTTTCTTTTCTTTTTCTTCTTTTTCATTTTCTTTTCTTTTACATTTCTTTTTCTTTTTTCTTTTTCTTTTCTTCTTTTTCATTTTCTTTTCTTTTCTTTTTCTTCTTTTTTCATTTTCTTTTCTTTTACATTTCTTTTTCTTTTTTCTTTTTTTTTTCTTCTTTTTCATTTTCTTTTCTTTTCTTTTTCTTTTCTTTTTCTTCTTTTTTCATTTTCTTTTCTTTTACATTTCTTTTTTCTTTTTCTTTACTTCATTTTCATTTTCTTTTCTTTTTTCTTTTTCTTTTTTCATTTTCTTTTCTTTTTTCTTTTTCTTTTTTCTTTTTCTTTTTCTTCTTTTCTTTTTTCTTCATTTCATTTTCGTTTTCTTTTCTTTTTTACATTTCTTTTTTCTTTCAATTTTGTGTTTTTCTTTCTTTCCTTTTTCTTTTCTTTTACTTTCTTTTTCTTTCTTCATTTCTTTTTTGTCTTTTTCTTTTTTCGTTTTCTTTGCTTTTACATTTCTTTTTCCTTTTTCCTTTTTTACTTTTTCTTTTACTTAATCTATTCGAAGCTCACCTGCGGATCGAGATTACGGGTTTTTTTTTTTTCACGACGAACGACCAAGAGGCCATCGAGGTCTTTAATAAAGAGAAAATACGGTCTAGAGTTGCAGTTCGCAAGCAAAAAAAAAATACGGTTTTAAATTGCATTCCTCAAAAGAGAAATGCGATTTTTAATTGCATCAGGTGAATACGTGTGTATATTCGTGTCTGCTTTATAAATATTTGCAGTAGATATATAAGCAACTACTACACACGCACTCGAGAGCACACCGGCGCAAAAACACACGCACCCAACTATACAGACATACGCATTCTAAACTCTACTTGAATAGACACACGCGCAGATGTTGGTCCAGAAAACGCCCCGAATTATTTGTAATTATATTTCTGTCAGCAATTTGAAATTTTCGTAGCAATGAAAGATATACAGACTTGTTCACAATTGAAAAAATTGCAACATAGATTGTACACAGCCGACGAGTTTAGCTGTTAAGATTGACAAATCGATCAATCAAGGCGATAATGCCACTAAGACGCAAATCCTTTAGTGAGGAGAAAGGACAATAAAAGTTTGTATTTAGCTGCTTAGCTATTACGTTTACTGACAAATCGCTCAAGCTTATCTCATTCATGGCTTATTTTAATCATCTTATGAATACAAGATTTTTTAATCATTTCACCCCAAGGAAGGCGAGGATGCCACTAAGTTTAGTGAGGACAAAGGACAATAAAAGTTTTTATTTAGCTGCTTAGCTATTATATTTACTGACAAATCGCTCAAGCTTATCTCATCCACCATCTTGGGCACCTCGGCGTGGTGTAATGGTTAGCAAGCTCGGCTTGCTAGATCAGTTACTACTGAAAAGTGAGTTCGATCCTCACTGGATGCCCCATACTTTCGGCCTTGTGCCACATCTAATCCGGGCTTAGAAAATCACTATCTCATTCATGGCTTAGTTTAATCGTCTTATGAATACAAGATTTTTTTTAATCATTTCACCCCAAGGAAGGCGAGGATGCCACTAAGTTGCAAATACTTTAGTGAGGAGAAAGGACAATAAAACTTGCTTAGCTATCAAGTTTAATTATTCAGATTGATAAATCGATCAAGCTCATACCATTCATGGCTTATTTTAATTATCTTGTGAATTTGGTATTTATGCTGATGACAACCATTGATAGGAAGGCTGACCAGTCCGACAAATGGCAGCCAATGTTCAAAATGATCTCAAGTACGTCGTTAACTGGTGTAAAAGCTGGCTTGTTAATTTTAACGCCCCCAAAACTAGACTTCTCCCTATGAATCATCTAAGAGACCCCTATCTGTCTTCCATCAGCATGACTGAAGCTAACCTCCAGGAAAAGTGACTAACGTTCTCAGCTGACATGAAGTGGAAAGACTATATTGAATCCATTGCTAGGTCAGCTGCTAAGAAGGTTGGTTCACTGTGTCGGACGAGACACTTTTTCTCTCCAGAATTTATCTTACATATCTATACGTCTACCATTCGTCCATGCTTTGAATATTGCTGCTACATATGCTATTTACCTTTAACTCCTTGATAAAATCCAAAGAAGAATCAGCAATATTATTAGTCCAGATCTGGTGGCTCAGCTTCAGTCACTTTCCCACCGGCGCAAGGTTCCCTTTCTCTCTTTTCTATAAATACTTCCATGGTAATTGTTCGGATGAGCTCTTCGCTATGGTATAGTTTTGTTTTCATATCGCAAATACTCATTAGGGCTAGTTTTTAATTGTTGCTTTATTCCCCCCACTCAGACAATGAATTGTACATATATGGACTAGTTAAGATTTTCATAGAGACAATGAGGTATTATGGTGAATGTAGTAAGAAAGGTAGGTAAGAATGTGTTGTTCTGGAGTAAGGAATATTATTGTATGTTTGGGTCAGGGTTTTTGGCTAGCTAAGTTTGGGTCAGGGTTTGTGGCTAGCTAAGTTTGAGTCAGGGTTTGTGGCTAGCTAAGTTTGAAAGAAGAAGAGCACCCTTTTCCCCATTCCCCATTTTGTCCTCGTGTCACATTTTGTATCTTTTACAAATAAATATCGCTCTCCGCTATGGTACCTAGACTTTCTGAATTTAAGCGCAGTACTAGTCTGGCGTCGAGATCTCATTAATTTACAGTTGACCTGGCTAGATGTATCCGTAAATTCTATGCTAACAGTTTCTTTTCTCGTACTTCTCACTTGTGGAACTCCCGTCCAGCTCCATGCTTTCCAGCCAACTTTAATCTGTAAAAATTTAAATGCAATGTCAATCGCTATCTACTGTCATCCTGATTACCATTTTATCTTCCAGCTTATTATTAATGCTTCTGTTTCTAATGTTTCCACTCCCAGTAACTCCTTCTTATGTATAAGTGTTTTTACTGCTTTGCATGGGGTGATACCGATCCCCACAAAACCTTTCATCCCAAGCAAGGCGATATTGCTACGAAAAAGCAGTGGGTTACTGGGAAGGTAAATTCTCCAAGCTCTACGATTTAATGGCAAAAATAATAATGACGAATTTTAAAAAAATACTGGCTGAACACCCATAATATGTACAGAGAAAAGCAAGTTGTAACAGAAGTTCTTTTTAACTCTGTAAAACTTCCCTTTGAGTAACATCTTTAGCAAGATACCCCTGCCGCCATCCACCAGCATGGCTGATGCTAGCCTCCAGGAGAATGATTCGTTTCTCCTTCGACGTTTTACACTGACATGAAGTGGAAAGATTATATCGAACTGAATGCTAGGTCTGCAGCTCGGAATGTTTCTTTACCGTGTCATGCTAGACATTTTTTTCTCGCTAGAATGTATTTTATATACCGATAAGTCTACCATTAGTCGACGCTTAGAATATTACTGTCACATATGGCCTGGTGCTCCGATTATATATTTAGATATCCTTGATAAAATCCAAAAATAATCTGCAATGTTATTGGTCCTGACCTGCTATCTCAGCTTCAGTCACTTTCCCACCGCTGTAATGTAGCTTCGCTATGACTTTCTGTAAATACTTTCAGGGTAAATGTTCTGATTATGTCTCCTCCATGGTTTGTGAACTGAAGCGCATTACTAGATTGGCGACAAGGTCTCATCATTTTACAGTCGAAATTGCTAGATGTAGCCATGAGTTTCATGCTAAGAATTTATTTTTTCGTACTTCTTGTTTGTGGAACTCTCTACCGGCTTCTTGCTCTCCAGTCAACTTTAATCTTCAAACATTTAAATACAATATCAATCGCTATGTTCTGTCTACTCCTGTTCCTTTATTGCTTACTAGCAGCATGGTCCAGCGTTGCCCGTGCTTGGTTCAAAAATCGTACGACTCATACAGCAATCGCTATCACTTGACTTAAAATATTTTTGCCCTTCCTTGCTTTAAAGGAGTGCCCTTTGCCGTGCTGATGTTGCTACATGCCTTACTTCTTGCCTATCTCACACTGCGATTTTTTTCTAAGCTCTATACTAAACATTAAATCTGTTACGAAAAAAGAACTAAACCAAATGAACACAAAACGATCAGCTTTAAAAAAGGACTCGTAACTGGAAAACCGAATGAAAAAGAATGTTAACAACAAATACTTTTTTCACACCCAACACAGTTCTGCGGAATCAGAATCAACGTTGAGTTTAAGCAAGCGAATGAGCCAATTGGAGTAAAGTGCCATGCAGATTTAAATTTTTCCCACTTGTGACGAATGCAGCTATCGATATTTTTCGCATGCTAGCATGCTAGTTAAAATTCGTGTCAGTCAGCTGTTGTCTCTCACGCTGGCCAATAGAATGGATCTCACTGTGGACAGTAGAAAATGGCCGAAAACTACATGAAAAGTGCCGTAGAAGCATGAAAAAATCGATTATTTCCAATATCGATGGGAGTTGGGAAATGCAAAGTCGGTCTTGGCTTTCCCGCTAACTTGGAGCATGTGCATGTAAATTTTGGTGCAAATCCGTCGAAAATTGCGGCCGTGCATTCACACACACACACACACACACACACACACACACACACACACACACACACACACACACACACATCCTGCCTTTTATAGATAGAGATTTTCTTTAATAATATAATTTTCTCATATTCTCTAACACTTTGTTACCCTGTACATCTTAGTAGCTTTACTGCTTTGCTTGGGATTAAATGATTATATATATATATATATATATATATATATATATATATATATATATATATATATATATTGCATTCAGTAACTTCCTGCGTTTTAGAGGCTCTGCTGCCATGCTTGGGCTGAAACTATTAATAACAAGAAAAAAAATAAAGATATTTATTTTCCAATGTTAATTTATTATGCAAATTCTCCTTGAATCTTTTACCTTACGTAATAGCTACATAAACCGAATTATGTAAGTGGTTGTGGGGGGCATGCTAGAACGATTTTTTTAATATTTGCAATTATAATACTAACAATTAATACAGAAAATTTACGTGTTTAAAATAATTCCGTAGTTTCAAGAAAATCTAATTTAACGTATTATTTTGATTTATTTACACATTTTCGGCTCTGCTCAACTAATCTCTTGTAAGATGAAATGTCACACGACAACAACGTTTACTACGAACACTCCTGGAAACTGACGTAGCTTAAAATTGACAAGTCTTTATAAAAGTTTTAGTATTTGTTGTAACCTAGAAAAGTTTACTGAATGATGAATAACCAAAACAGAGGTTGGAAATGCAATGGTAATCTTTATAACATCAACAAAATACAATACTCGCCAGCGGCGTGAAGTAGGTAAACCACTGCTAGTAGAGGACTACTTAGACTGCATATAACCCCCACTTACTATAGTGTCCAACGTATTTATGAGGATTGGGATATACCTATTAGTGTTCATAGGTACGGTATATAACAGTGTTTTTAAAAAATTCTTACATTATGTTTGCTTCTGTTTTTTTTTTTTTTTTTAATCAGGATTACATTTACTGTATATTTTATTTAAATGTACACAAATATTTAT